GCCCTCGGCCAAAGCGGCAGTCCCTCCGGGAGGGAGAGCGGTGAGCGGCTGGAAGGAGCGCAGCTCGGAAACGCCAAAAACCTGAAAGATGCTGTCATCGCCACCCCGTTCCCCCCGCCGGGCCCTGGCAGGTCCGGCCCCTCCCAGGCTGACCCAGATACATCCCGGTTTGGGTCCGGAAAGGGAGGGGAGGGAAACCAGCCCCGCGCCACCCACGACTCGGGAAGAGCAGGGCTCGGAGCCAGGCCGCGCCGCGGTATCGCGGGCCATGACCCTGGGAAGATCGGGTCGGGCTGCGCAGGTCGCGAGGGAGGGGCCGTGCGCTTCTTCTCCCAGCGCGTGGGAGGGGACGGAGGGGACGTGGTGTACAAGGCACCCAACAGCAACCAATATCGGCATTTACCTCCATGCCCATGTTCACAAGCATTTTTCCTGGGTGCAGCAGAAGAATAAGCTACAATTTCATTCCGCCCACCTTTGCCCACAGACTCTCGCAGGGAAATCCAGGCACTTGGGACACATGTAGAAGAGGTGGGTGGCCCCAGAGAAACCATGAGACACCAACATACCGCTTCTCGGTGAACAATGCAGGGGTGCGGGTGTGGATGTTGGAAAATGTAGGCAGTTGTGTTTCGCTCATGGACAAGGAGACCTGAAGCCACCTAAAAAGCTCCTCAACCCACCTCAGCATATGGTGTCCTCGCAGCTAAGGGAAGTTGTGGAGTGTGACCATCAGCTGGGAGGCCCTGTCTCTCCGCCCAGGGAAGTTGTCCATTGGCCAGGAGATCTGCCCTTCAGTTGCTAGTGAGGCCAATGGAATGACCTAAACCTGAACCAGACCTCCTGGAAGAAGAATGGCCCATTCCCCCAAACCAATGAAATCCAGCCCAAAGGCCTTCATCCTGGGGCAGGAGGAGAAGTGACACAGGACTTGAAGGGAGGAAGTAAGGCTTGGTGAAAGGCAAAAGGCTGAACATTTCAGTTAATGAGAAGCTAAATCCAGATGTGAGAAAAGGCCCACACAAACACCCCTTCCTGACCTGTCCAGAGGCAGTCCCGGCCAGACCTGTGATTCCATTTCCCTCCCATTCTCCACCCCTTTTCACTTACGACCCATTATTAGCTCCATACAACTTCCTTGCCTGCCCAACAGGCCCGACTTTCCACTCTCATCTGTACCTGTTCTCTTGATGGACCGTTCACTTGGAAGATAGGGTGTTTACTATTAGAAGAAGTTTGGAAATGCTCACGAAAATTAGGAGGAAAGAGGGTGATTGCAAACTTCAGTTCTCTTGCAATAAGAACTGCCATCCCAAAGAAGAGCTAATAAATAATGAAGTAAATTGCACATGACTTCAGCCTTGCTATAGCAGATGATGAGGTAAGGAAAGACAGGGTTAAGAGTGCCTTTAGATCTATGAATTGAATGTCTGATTTTTTTTTTGTTTCTTCAATGAGAAATATCAGAATTGACTGTGAAACTCAATTACAGTATACAGAACCCAATTCTTTTTCTGACGAATAATGTTAGTTTGCTTGTAACTTCAGTATAGCATTGTAGCCAAATGAGTCAGTCTATTTTCTTAGTTAGATCCATTGTTTGTCTAATCTCCCAGGGCGGAGAGAGAGAACTAATTTACTACCAAACCATCTCCACCCTTTAAAAATGGAGAGTCACTTCTAAAACCAAATAGCCTTTCAGTCTGAACTTAAGGCAGTGTCTCCTAATTTAGCTACTCCCCAACCAATGATTCAAAGTTCAAGTATCTCCAACCTAGCTTCAGTGAACTTTGTGTATTAACAGGACAGGTCAAAGATGGGAAAGAAAGAAATATGTACCTTTTGTACTTTCATCTAAGAGTATCAGAGACATAACAATATAGGTTAAGTTTGAAATTTGAAGTTTGTCTGCAACGCTCTTAAAACATTATTCCCGCTGGTTTGGCTCAGTGAATAGAGCGTCGGTCTGCGGACTGAAGGGTCCCGGGTACGGTTCTGATCAAGGGCAAGTACCTCATACCTCGGTTGCAGGCTCAATCCCGGGCTCTGGTCAGGCATGTGCAGGAGGCAACCAATCAATGTGTGTCTCTCACATCGATGTTTCTCTCTCTATCTCTCCCCCTCCCTTCCACCCTGTCTCTCAAAATCAATGGAAAAATATCCGTGGGTGAGGATTAACAAAAAAACAAAAACATTGCTCCCTTTCCCCTTCAGTCACTCCTGAAATTTAATTAAGCACTCTTACCTATTCTTTGTCAGAAATTGCTTTTAGGAAAAGTCCTATTATCAGTGATTTAAATCTCAATGTGCATTTAAATTAATGTGCACCAAAAAGTTACTTCCAGCATGATTTATTCCCCTAGTAAAATAACCTCTAAGACTGGACAAAACTAGAGGAGGCAGATTTTTTCAGGGATCGGTAGGAAACACAGCTGTGATCCTCGAGAGAAGGGAACCACATGAAGTGTGTTCCACAACTTTCTCATAATTGTCCTGGTTTTTCTGCGGAAGGGTACTTTTCCTGGGCTGCAAGAAGCGGAATCCAAGCACAGCAACAGACTCAGTTAAGGAGGACGAGATTAGAGTTTTGCACTGTTGAAGTGGCTGAAGTTAGCAGGGTAGCATACCTGAAAATAGGTAGCTGTGAAAAGGGAAGTTCCACAAGTCTACCTGGAGATTTGCCACGTACAAAAGCTGGACTGAATCCTATATAATAAAGAGCTAATATGCTAATTAGACCGAACAGCAGAACGACCATCCAGACGACCTTCCGGATGAAGCTGGGGCTGCGAGGGCTGTGAGGGCCAGCCGGGGCTGCGAGGGCCTAGCTCCTTGCATGAATTTTGTGCATCAGGCCTCTAGTATAGATATAACAAGACTCCACAAGGTCTAGCACAGATTGCCTGCTGCATGGCATGCAGTGTTGAGAGATGTTGGAGTTCCAGCTTAGCAGGGTCGAGAGGCCCCATTGTGCACTTCAGACATTCAACTGAGATGCTAGAAAGGCCATCCCTCTAAAGTAAGGGTCATGACTTTGCATAAAAACAGACAGGCCAAGAATAAAAACCAACATCCATTAAGTTAAGATGACCTTGTATCATTTATAATCTCAAGCATACAATAAAAAATTAATAGGCAGATGAAAAACCTGAAAAATGTGACCCATACTCAAGAGCAAGCAGTCAAAAGAAACTGACTCTGAGATGACCCAGATGTAGGAACTGTCAGGAAAGCAATTTTAAAGTAGCTCTTATATACTGAACATATAACTATGTTCAGGTACTTCAAGGAAAATATAGTCACAGTGAACAAATACATGGAGAGTCTCAATAGGGAAATAGAAGCCATAAGAAACAAAGACAAGGAGAAAATATTAAAGCTGCACAAAAAGACACAAGCAGAAACTACTGAAATCAGACGACAGTAGAATAACATCTTTTAAAGGGGATGCTGCGGAACTGGAATTCTATAATCATTGTAAAGCTCCTTCAAAAATGAAGAAAAAATAAAGATGCCTTCAAACAAAAGCTAAGAAAATAAATATTAAGTCAGTTTTTTAGGCTGAAAGAAAATTATACCAAATGGTCTTATGGAATCACCGGAAGGAGTGAGCACCGGGGAGGGTAAATTTGAAGGAAAATGTAAAATAATATTGACTGTTAAAACAATGGTTGTTATAGCTTGTGAGGTTTAAATCCTATAGGAGGAAAACATATGGCATCACTAGTACAAAAACAGGAGGGGACTCTGATTCCAGATGGGATGGATGAAG